GAGTGAAAGAACATTGAAATAAGAGTGTGTGCTGTATGAACCCACTTCTGTGTTGTTCAGGAACAGAAGAAAGTAACTGATGGTGGCATTCGTAAATGTGGGCATCTCTGGGGAGGAGTGTGTTCAGTGAAGCGGATCCACACCCCTAAGTGGACTTGCAGTAATGCACATGCTGTAAGGAGAGTGGACAAAGGAATGGAATCACTAAGTAGGTACAGAGCATTTTAAGTATCAGCCCATGAGGTCTGTCTGTCAGTTAATGAACACTGACCACCTCTCAGCAGATGGTCAGGTGACCTATCAGCTGTGTGTCATCCACACATATGTCCAAAGCACATTGCATGGACTCTCCTTTTTTAGAAGGCAGTTGGGATGTTTCAGAATAGATCTTTTCAAGTAGAAAATACCAGATGTTTCAATGATCATGTCCATTGATCCAGAAGTTCTGCTTTATAGGAATGTTCACACTGATATATTCACAAGGATATTCAGTCCAGCATAATTTGTAGTATTTTCATTTTACATATGAAGAAGTTAATGTCAGTAACTTTTCCAAGGTTATTCGACTGCAAAGTAATAAGGCCAGAATTTTAATCCTGAGCCATTTGACTCAAAACCCCCTGCCTAGTAATTGTACCTACTACAGTAGTTGTGTTCAAAAACAAGCCCTTGTGGGCTGTGTCTGGCTAGCAGATACATCACTAGGTGAGCAGCCTGTAGACTCTATGCTGTAGGAGCAGGGGCCTCTCTTGTGCCTTTGACGGTGAAGAATCTGCCCGCAGTACAGGAGACCTGGATTCGATCCCTGGGTTGAGAAGATCCCCGGAGAAGAGAATGGCTGCCCTCTCCAGTATTCTCGCCTGGACACTTCCATAGACAGAGGAGGCTGGCAGGCTACAGCCCTGGGTCGCAAAGAGTCGGTCACGATTGAGTGACTGTCACTTCACTTCACTTCTCGGAATAGATGGGACAGAGTTGGCAACCCAAGGGCTGCAGTGAGAGGATAGGCCAGCCATATGCCTCAGAGAACCCCGAGAACTTCTAGAATGGCTTTCTCTCTCTCTCCCAGTCTAATATTGAAAGTCTCTAAAAATAGAGCATTGATTTCTTAAGGCTTTAGGAGCTTAGAGCTAAGGCCAAGAAGGACTTATAGGAAGAAAGATTTCAACTCATGCTGGCAATCAGAAGCAGCACACAGTCCTAGGTTACAAGCTTGGCTTCTAAATTCAGTTCTCCTGTTACGTACCGTGTAATTTGGACAAGTCACTCATTCTCCCTGGGCCTCAGTTTTCCCGCCTGTAAAAAAGGGGGATTGAATTAGATACTCTGTCTGGGAGAACACATGTAAATCCATGGCTGATTCATGTCAATGTATGGCAAAAACCACTACAATATTGTAAAGTAGTTAGCCTCCAACTAATAAAAATAAATGAAATAAATAAAAATAGATACTCTGTCTGGTCTCCGAGTTCCTTAAGCCAGTACTTTTGGCCACACTGTTCGTATATTCCGGATAGGCATCCACCACCCCTAATTCCCACTGCCACTAAGTCCCCCTCTAAGAGCATAGCCAACTAGAGATTTCAAACCATAGGATTCTAAATCTCACTTCCCCACGTCCTCCCCTTGGGTACCTGATAGATACACTGAAGAGTCTCTTTTTATCCGCTTCAGTATCCCTCAGCCATTCTTGATATGATGTGGTTTCCAGGCCTCCTTCCATTTAAGACGTGGCCCTCTGTGTCCACTAATGGTGTAGCACCAAAGCCACTTGAACACAGGCTTTCTGGGACGGACTTAGCCGTGGTGGAAAGGGGGAGGATCTTACCTCCCTCACGCTGGTCACTGCACTGAGATTAATGTGTCCTCTGAAGAGCCGTGTTAACCACAAGGCGCTGTGCTTCTTATCACGCGTGTAACCACAAAACCTCCAGCCCTTTTTCTGATGATCTAAAGCTGAACCCAGAGAGAGAACCACCCCAGGAACCTGGGTATAGATGTTGGCCCACACTGCACTGTCAGTGTGTAACAAGTTATGAAACAGTTGTGTTTCCTTAGCTAATTTAGTACACGTGCTGCTCTTGTACTCTCTCTCTCTCTCTCTCTCTCGCTCACTCTCTCTTTTCACTGTAGGACAGCCGAACCTACCTTCCACCTGGCTAAGGCTTGGAGAAAAACGGCATTGCCCACTGTGCTCTGGCCTTGCTTCAGCCAGCAGCGCAGCAGGGTGGCGCAGTAAACCAGAGCTCTCGTCTTAGGGCCCCAGCAGCACGCAGGGTGACCCTTCACTTCTCTGAATCTTTTCCTGAGCTCACCTTCCTGACCAGAGGCAGGCTTCCCTTGTGGCTTAGCAGGTAAAGAATCCGCCTGCAATTCAGGAGACCTGGGTTCAATCCCTGGGTTGGGAAGATCCCCTGGAGAAGGGAAAGGCTACCCTACTCCAGTATTCTGGCCTGGAGGATTCTGCAAAGAGTTGGGCACGACTGAGCGACAGTGGACTGACTTACCTCCAATTTCAGATCACAGAACCCTGGAGCTTCAAAGCCAGAAGAGAGCTGAGAACCCATCTCGTACCCCTCCTAAAGCAGGATCCCTTCCATCGTAGCACTGACAGCCGGCCATCCAGCCTCATCCAGACACCACTTGCATATTTCCATCTCTAAGGACCGAATATTTCTCAGTTAACACTTGCTGACAACTTGCTGTGTGGTAGCAGCTGTGTTAAGTGGCTTCATGTGCATAATTTCTCCCCCATTTCCTACCACCCTCCTCTGGCAACCATCCATCTGTTCTCTGTATCCATGAGAACATACGAGATAGAGCGTATGGTATTTGTCTTTCTCTGTCTGACTTCTTTTCCTTAGCATAATGCCCTTGAGATACATCCATGTTGTCATAAGTGGCGAGATTCCATTCTTTTTATGGCTAAATATTTCATTGTGTATACAGTATACCACAGTTTTCCATATCTGTTCGTATATCAGTGGACACTTGGATTATTTCTGTATCTTGGCTGTTTTAAGTACTGTTCCCCATGTGAACATGGGGGTGCACATGTGTTTTTGACTTGGTGCTGGTGGTTTGGTCACTAAGTCGTGTCCAACTCTTGGACTCCAAGGATTGTAGCCACGAGGCTCCTCTGTCCATGGGATTTCCCAGGTGAGAGTAGTACTTTTGTTTTCTTGGGGTAAATACCCAAAAGCGAAATTGCAGGATCATGTGATAGTTCTATTTTTAACTTTTTAAGGAACCTCTGTACTGTTTTCTAATAGTGACTATACCAATTTGCATTCCTTCCAACAGTACCCAAGGGTTCCTTTTTCTCCACATCCTTGCCAACACTTAATTTCTCATCTTTTAGATAATAGCCATTCTGACATGTGTGCGATGATAACCCCTTGTGGTTTTGATTTGTATTTCCCTGATCACTGCTAATGTCTGACATCTTTCTATGTGTCTGTTAGCCATATTAGTCCCTTATCAGATCTATGATTTGCAATCACTTCCTCCCACTCAGCAGACTGCCTTTCCATCCTGTCGCTGGCTTCCTTTGCGTGTAACTTTTTAGTTTGATGTAGTCCCACTTGTGTTGCTTTGGTTTTGTTGCTCTTGATTTTGGTGTCAGATTCAAAAAAATCACCACCAAGACCTGTGTCAAGGAGCTAATCACTTAGATTCTCTTCTAGGAGCTTTATGGTTTCAGATCACAAGAATATGGAGATTAAACAACATGCTGCTAAAGTGGATTGAGGGACAGATCAGAGAGAGACTTGTAAATGCCTGGACACAAGCAGAAATGGGAGTATAACCTAACAGAACTTGTGAAATGGAGCAGAAGCAGTTCTCAATGCTACTGCTAAGTTCATAGCAGTAAAGGCCTACCTCAAGAAGCAAGGAAAGTCTCAAACAGCCTCACTCTACACTCAGGGCACTGGGAAGAGATGAGCAAAACAAGCCCAGAGTTAGTAGAATGAAGGAAGCAACAGTGATTAGAGCAGAAATAGAGACTAAAGAGGCAGCAGAGAACAGCAGTGAAACTTAAGAACTGGTTCTTTGAAAAGATAAGCTGACAAGCCTTGAGCCGGACTCACCGAGGAAGAGAGAGGACTCTGTGCTCAGGTTAAAATGCCCATTCCTACTCAAAGCAATCAAGAAACTCAATGCAGTCCTTATCAGGATTCCAATGGCATTTTTCATAGGGCTAGCACAGTAATACTAAAATTTGTAGGGAACCACAAAAGACCTCCATGGTGAAAGTGATCTTGAGAAACAGCAACAAAGCTGGAGGCACCACACGCCCTCATTTCAAACTGGATCACAAGACTGTAGTAATGTAAACAGCATGAGACTGTCACAAGAGCAGAAACCAGTGGAGCAGAAGAGAAAACCCCGTCACAAACCCACGCAGATGTGGTTTATTAGTTTATGACAAAAGGATTCAAGAACATACAGTGGGGAAAGGGCATCCTGTTCAATAAACAGTGCTGAGAAATCGAGGGTTGTCCTTTTAACTAACAACCCTCTGGTTAATGCGTTCTAGACATTATGCAGAGAGCTACAGGAGCATAAATACAAATTAAAAAAGACTCGCCCTTAAAAATCTATATCTAGCAGTCTTGATGAGATATGTATCACACCGTGACCTTGGCAGTAACCGCTTTAGGTCGGTCGAGCCAGGATGACTATCCCCGTTTCACAGTTGGAGAAGCTGAGCCCCAGGGTGCTGCCTGGGGTGACAGGGCCAGGACCCGGGAACCCGACTCCCCGCTCAGGCCGTGACCACACAGCTTTATCAGTTTAATGAAATAACTGGTTTTCAGACCCTCGCTGTTCCGCTGATCGTGTTGAAGAGCTGCCTGGCAGAGCTCCCCCTTCTGACGCATCCACGTCCCCCTGTCCCCTGGTAGCCCCAGGGACACGGCATCCTCACCCCACAGCAGCTCTCCAGCTCACTTACCTTTTATTTATTTACGCGTATTTCTCTCTCTTTTCCCTTTCAGGTTGTGATCAATTATTCAATCGTGAAAGGGCTGAAGTACAATCAGGCAACGCCAACCTTCCACCAGTGGCGAGATGCCCGCCAGGTCTACGGTTTAAACTTTGCAAGTAAGGAAGAGGCGACCACGTTCTCAAACGCCATGCTGTTTGCCCTGAACATCATGAATTCCCAGGAAGGCGGTAAGTGGGGCTTTGTCTGGCCTGGCGCCCAGACCCCCCTCCCCTCCTTCCGCCCTTCCACGGCTCTGGCTCCCAGGGTGTCCTCGACGGCAGCTGCGCTGAGCTGATGTCTGGTGGATTTGCAGAGAAAACTACTGCCTGACTCTAGATACAAAGCGCTGCTAACAGTTTGAACAAGGAGAGAGACATTTGCATCATTTCTGCCTGTTGTGAGCTGGAGATAGTTGTACTATGTTCCTGAAACTGGGTATCCAGATGTGTTTTACCTTTGTCGTCCTACTTTCCACATTCTCAGCACATATTTGGCAGAGTTTGGAGGGAAGAAGCAAAACTGTATTCTTGGATTCAGTTATTCCTAAGTTTAACACACTGTTACTGAACACTTCCTGCATGTTGGAAACTGTCTGGGGCAAAATAGGTCAGAAGTGAATTGATGGAGCCCTTTGATTCACGGCACTTGGTAACCAAGAGAACATGGACGGACCCGTGAACTGCTCGCTATGGCGTGCTGCGACAAGGGAACCAATAAGGCGTGAGCAGGGCAGGGGCTTCAGGAGCATGGGAAGGCAAAGAAGGGGCTGCCCAGCTGGGCTCCGAGAGGTGGTGACATTCGAGCTGGAGTGTCGACGGGCAGGGAGCTCACGAGACGGGGGAGTGGGCACCCCAGGCAGAGGGAACGGCAGATACAAAGGCTCCTGGGCCTGAAAGCCCAGCCTGTGCGGGGAGGAGAGCGTGCAGTGTCTCTGGGGCCCATGGTACCAAAGGAAGGAGGCTGGACATGGAATTGGAAGGTGGCAAGGGTTGCATAGGGAGAGGCTGCAGCCAACCTGGGAGACTTGGGGTGTAGACAGTGGGGCCAGGGTGGGGAGAGGAGCCAGCAGGAGCATCTGCAGGGCCAGTAAAGCAGAGAAGCAGAAGCATACGGGGCTCTTCTGGGCCATCTGTAGCATCAGCTCCCACGGGAGGACAGGGCCCTCCGGGGTGTCAGCGTCTTGGAAGCCAGAGCTGTCCAGCGCTTGGCTGAAGAACTCACCTCGATGGCAGTGTGGGGCTGGGCCCAGGGTGTCCTGCTGACCTTGAGTCCAGCACACGTCACTTCGTTTCTCTGTGTCTCGGTTCGTTTTCTATAAGACGGGTGATAAGGGGTTGTTGCTATGTGTCTGTACCCAGTCTCTTCAGTCGTGTCCGACTCTTCGCGACCCCATGGGCTGTAGTCTGCCAGGCTCCTCTGTCCATGGGATTCTCCAGGCAAGAAAACTAAAGTGGGTTGCCGTTTCCTCCTCCATGGGATCTTCCCAACTCAGGGATTGAACCCTCATCTCTGGCATCTCCTGCATTGCAGGCAGATTCTTTACCCACTGAGCCACCTGGGAAGCTTGATTGTGTGTTTAAATGAACTCAAATATAAGATGTTAGTGGGCCGCCTGACATGTGTTAATCTTCCAGTATTACTATTTGTGAGTAGTATTACTGTCATTGCTGCTGCTGCTGCCAGAATTAGAGCAGGAAGTGGGGAGCCATGGTACTTAGAAGCTGCAGGGAGATGCCTTTTAAATAACTGTTGTGCCTTATAGATCCGAGCTTTGGGACCTAACTTAAACCCTTAGAGAATTTTTTTTTTTTAATAACGTGTTTAGAGTATGCTTCCTGCAGGTCATATGCAGAACCGGTACTTGTAGAGCTCTTCCCCCACCATGAAAAGACTGCACGGTTTGTGGATTTTCTGCTGAGAATGGAGGCTGTGTGGTGAGGGACCACAACGGTACTGAGTGGCGAGTGCAGCGCCTGAAATATTGGAGGCCCCAAATAAATGTTTATTAAACCGTCTTTTTTCCACCCAAGAGCCTTGAGCCTCAAGGTCGAGTGAGCTGAGTTTAAGGTTTCCTATCTGAGTGGCCTCACTTGCCCCAGGATGAGAGAGTTTAACTTTATCTATATATAGAGATACATTAAGGAGGGAAAAAAGTTTTCATTTAATAAGATGGCTGGCTCAAAGCAACTACTATTGACTTTATTAACTTCACAGTAGAATCATGAGGAAATCAACTAGTCCAAGCCTCATTTTCAGATACAGACCTGTGACCAGTGTGAAGAAATAACTGACTGTTGCCAGGTAGTAAGTCACCTTGGAACCCCGACCTCCTGCATCCCCTCCGGGCGGAACACTGTCCTTGTTGGGGTGGGTGGGTATGTGCTCACGCTGACGGGGGCCTGACCTGAGACTCTGCTTGTGAGTCCCTCCTGGCTCACTGGCCTTTGGAGGCGGAGAGCTGGGCCCACTGCAGACAGAGCTGTTTCCTCCCCCTGTGTGTGGCCTGCTGTACCTTACAGACGCCTGAAGTGTGAGCTCCGTGAGCTTGTGCAGAGGCGTCTGTGGGACCCCGACAGAGACCACAGTCCTCCGCCCCTCTCAGCCCAACAAGAGCTTCAGCTTCTGTGATAACAGAGCACCTTTGTGTTTGCACTTCACGTAAGTGGATCGCACAGTGCGGGCATCGGGGTCTGATTCTCGTCCTTGACCTCACGTCTGAGGCACCCGCCCGCGGACCTGTGTGTGGCCACGGCCGGCCCAGTCCCTGTGGAGCGCGCTCAGGGGTGTGGCTGTGCCTCCCTGCCGGGTCGTCCAGCCCCTGGAGCCTGGGCAGGATGCGGGCAGCCTCCCCACCGCTGCCACTGGCCTCCCGCTGCAGATGATTGCGACGTTTCTGTCAAATGCCCTGCCTTGGGAAGAGCTGTCGCCCCCGTCCTCGGTGGGAGCCGTTCGCAGTGCAGCGGACCCTTGAACAGCACAGCTCTGAACCGGGTGTCCACTGACATCTCGGCTCTGCGTGATCCGCGGCTGGTCGTATCTGCGGGTGCAGAGCCAGCTGTGCGGTTACACGCAGGTTCTCGCCTCTGCAAACCAGAGCCCAACCCCCGACGGTGCTCAGGGGTCAGCTGTGGTGAGAAAAGCGTATGCTTGGAGCCACCAAGGTCTTGTATCAAGGCTTCAACCTGCCACCTGTGGCCTTGGGATAATAAACCCTACTTCCTAGGGCTGACGTGAAGATTCAGTGTAAGTGTTTATAAAGCACTTAGCATGGAGTGCCTCATATGTGATAAGAGTGTGAATAATGCTGGCTCTTCCTTCCGTCTCTGGTCTTATTGAATTTGCTTGTCTTTAGGTTTCAACATCCTTGTTTGTAAAATGGGGTCAGAAGTACCACTTAAGAGTGTGGAGGGGAAAAAAAAGAGTGGAGGAGAGGATTCAGTTGCCCAGCGCGGGGCCGGGCGTCTGGTAATCAACCACCTCTGCCCTTTCCTGTCCTCACTGGCGTGTCCTAGTCCGAGCCGGGCATCTGGGGCCCGGGCTCTTAGAACGTGGACTCTCTAAGCCGCAGGGTCCAGCAGCGTCTCCCAACCCCCACCCTTGTACGTCAGGGGTGCCGCCGGTGCACCCCTGTGCGTGAGCAGCGCCGCCGGCGCGCCCCTGTGCGTGAGAGAGGGCGGCACGCCCCTGTGCGTGAGAGAGGGCGGCGCGCCCCTGTGCGTGAGCAGCGACACCGGCGCGCCGCTGTGCGTGAGAGACGCCGCCGGCGCGCCCCTGTGCGTGAGCAGCGCCGCCGGCGCGCCCCTGTGCGTGAGAGAGGGCGGCGCGCCCCTGTGCGTGAGAGAGGGCGGCACGCCCCTGTGCGTGAGAGAGGGCGGCGCGCCCCTGTGCGTGAGCAGCGACGCCGGCGCGCCGCTGTGCGTGAGAGACGCCGCCGGCGCGCCCCTGTGCGTGAGCAGCGCCGCCGGCGCGCCCCTGTGCGTGAGAGAGGGCGGCGCGCCCCTGTGCGTGAGCAGCGCCGCCGGTGCGCCCCTGTGCGTGAGAGAGGGCGGCGCGCCCCTGTGCGTGAGCAGCGCCGCCGGCGCGCCCCTGTGCGTGAGAGAGGGCGGCGCGCCCCTGTGCGTGAGCAGCGCCGCCGGCGCGCCCCTGTGCGTGAGAGAGGGCGGCGCGCCCCTGTGCGTGAGCAGCGACGCTGGCGCGCCGCTGTGCGTGAGAGACGCCAGCCCGCCCCTGTGCGTGAGCAGCGCCGCCGGCGCGCCGCTGTGCGTGAGAGAGGGCGGCGCGCCCCTGTGCGTGAGCAGCGCCGCCGGCGCGCCCCTGTGCGTGAGAGAGGGCGTCGCGCCCCTGTGCGTGAGCAGCGCCGCCGGCGCGCCCCTGTGCGTGAGCAGCACCGCCGGCGCGCCCCTGTGCGTGAGAGAGGGCGGCGCGCCCCTGTGCGTGAGCGACGCCACCAGCGCGCCCTCGTGTGGTGCCGGGCCCAGTGTTTCTGGGTTTCCGGGTGCCGTGTGATGGGTGTGCTGAGGGGGTTTATAGCAGGGCTCCTTGTGACTGGGCGGGTGGCAGAGATAATGATTATGGTGATAAGAACATCTGCACTTTTTCCTCACGGCCCAGGAGTTGTTTTGTTTTTACCAGAATCTTCTCGCACGTGCCCCTTCCAGCCGCTTCTTGGGCAAAGACTCCCGCTAACCGGGCAGCCTGGGTGCGGGCCCAGCAGGCCACCGCCGGGCCTTCGCTGGCCGAGGGGGTGCTCCCGAATGCCCCGCTTTTATTCCTGCAGGTGTCAGGCCAGCTTCTGTGACACACGTTTACTCAGACGGCGAGTGGGGGCTAAAGGCTGTGACCTCTCTGCCATAGCTCTCCGGTGGAACTGAGACTCGTATCTAGGGCCCCTGGTTTGAAATCCAGTGTTTTTTCTACAGCTTTGCGCTGCCCCAGGAGGTCAGAGAGGAGGGTCAGCCAGCCGTGGGCCCAGCCTGACCCCACAGCTCTGGGCGGTCGTCTCCCTTTGGGGACCCCAAGGGCTTGGGCAGGGTGGTGGGCGTGTAGTGGCGTGTTACCGCCACTACAGACAAAGGTCCAAGGTCGCGGGCCTCAGTGTCGTGGGGGGTCTTCATCGTCCAGACACCGCACCGCCAGTGCCCTTACCTGGCTTCCTCCGCTGCCTTCCTCAGTGGGCGCCCACCACCGT